TTTTTTGAGACAGAGTCTCATTTTGTTGCCCAGGCTAGAGTGAGTGCCATGGCGTCAGCTAGCTCACAGCAACTTCAACTCCTGGGCTCAAGCGATCCTATTGCCTCAGCCTCCCGAGTAGCTGGGACTACAGGCGTGTGGCCACCATGCCCGGCAATATATATTAGTTGGCCAATTAATTTCTTTCTATTTATAGTAGAGACAGGGTCTCGCTCTTGCTCAGGTTGGTTTCGAACTCCTGACCTCGAGCAATCCACCCGCCTCAGCCTCCCAGAGAGCTAGGATTACAGGCGTGAGCCACCGCGCCGGCCAGGAAACATTTTTGATTGTCACAACCGATAGGGGAAGGGGTGTCCACTGGCATCTTGTAGGTAGAGGGCAGGGACACTGTTAAACATCCTACAATGCATGGAACAGCCTCTTATAATAAAGAATGAAATAAAGAATTCTTTAGTTCATATCAATAGTGCCAAGGTTAAGAAACTGTGATATATTGTATTGTACCTTCTCAGGTAATATACTGTCCCTGAAGGGGACAGGGACATTGTATTGTTTATCTTTGTTACCTATCATCAGGGCCCCAATACCTAGCCCTAAAAAGATATTAAGTTTGAACTATCTATTTCTTAAAAAGTGATAGGAATTGAAGAATAAATTATAGGTCATACCAACTATCTCCTTAATAAAAAATTCTGTTAAAGGAAAAGAGGAGGCTGGGCATGGTGGCTCACGCCTGTAATCCTAACACTCTGGGAGGCCGAGGCGGCGGATTGCTTAGTCGGGAGTTCGAAACCAGCCTGAGTGAGACCCTGTCTCTACTGTAAATAGAAAGAAACTAATTGACCAACTAAAAATATATATACAAAAAATTAGCCGGGCATGGTGGTACATGCCTGTAGTCCCAGCTACTCGGAGCTGAGGCCAGGATTGCTTGAGCCAGGAGATTGAAGTTGCTGTGAGCTAGCTGACCCACGGCCACTCACTCTAGCCTGGGCAACAAAGTAAGACTCTGTGTCAAAAAAAAAAAAAAGGAAAAGAGGAAAGGAAACTAACATTTATTTAGTGTCTCTTATGTGCCATATACATAATAGATGCTATTTCATATAATCCCCTAAAAATCTGGAAGTTAGGTAGTATTCCTATCTTTCAGATGAGGAATCTGAGGCTTAATGGGCAATTTTTTCCTCAAGGTGACATAGCAGAGCCAGGATACAAATCTAGGTCCAAGTCCAAAGCTAAAGAACTATTTCTTAGCCACAGCAAAAGAACAGACAGATCAACGGGACAATCCTAAACACAAGATAAAGATGACGATCTAAGTCTAGGATAAAGGATGGATTACTTTATAGTGTTAAGACTAGCTAATCATTTTAAAATTGAAATGTAAAAAATAAAACATAAAAATTCAACAAAATACTACATTTATATTTTATCTTATAAGCATTTTATTGTGCTTAGATTACTATGTTCTAAACTCTATTCTAATTGCTTAGTCCTCATAACAACCCTAACAGACGAATATTTTTACCCTCATTTTTTAAGATAAGGAACTTATGGCACAGGGAGGTTAAGTAACTGGCCTAAGATCACACACTTAGTTAATTGTAGAATCAGTATTCAAATCCAAAGAGCCTAGCTCTATAGTCTGTGCTCTTACAGAATGTGCTATGTAATTAAAAGCAATACATATAAAATCATGGACTACCCTAAGCAGGATCCCAAGGCAGTTACTATAAAGAATTTAATTAATAGGTTTTATCATCCATAAATATTAAATATCTGTATGTCAAAAGATACCCATAAGCAAACTTAAAGATAAACAATAAGCCAGAAAAAACTATTTGTAAAATATATGACAAAGAATCAATTCTCTTAATATAAAAAGAGCTCTTAGGCCAGGTGCAGTGGCTCACGCCTGAAATCCTAGCACCCTGGGAGGCCGAGGTGGGCAGATTGCTCGAGGTCAGGAGTTCAAAACCAGCCTGAGCAAGAGCAAGACCCCCGTCTCTACTATAAATAGAAAGAAATTAATTGGCCAACTAATATATATACAAAAAATTAGCCAGGCATGGTGGCACATGCCTGTAGTCCCAGCTACTCGGGAGGCTGAGGCAGCAGGATTGCTTGAGCCCAGGAGTATGAGGTTGCTGTGAGCTAGGCTGACACCACGGCACTGACTCTAGCCAGGGCAAGAAAACCAGACTCTGTCTCAAAAAAGAAAGAAAAGAAAAAAAAAAAAGAAAAAAAAGAAAAGAAAAATGGGCAAATAACATGAAGATGGCCAATAAATTTATGAAAAAGTGGTCAATCCATGATTAGGCAAAGGAATGCAAATTAAAATAACAAATATCATCTCTCAAATTTGTAAAATTAAAAAAAAATTCTAATACCCAGTGTTAGCCGAATCAAAATGGTAGAAAGTAGAAAAACCAAAGATGGACAAGAATGAAATAAAGAAAAAAAATCAAAATGGTAGAAAGGCAATACAGTAAAAGCCCTATTAGTCAATGGATAGGGGTCAGTGGTAGGTCAATTAATCAAAATATTCAGTTAAAGTAGGAAATAATAAAAAAATGATAAAGACTTACATTTTATTTTAACTCAAATATATAAATGTACATTAAAATCCACTATTTTTTCATTAGTCCACTGATTTTTTTTTTTGAGAGAGGGTCTCATTCTGCCACCCAGGCTGGAGTACAATGGTGTCATCACAGCTCATTACAGCCTCAGACTCCTGTGCACAAGTGATCCTACTGCCTCTGCCTCCCGGGTAGCTGGGACTACAGGTGCGTACCACCAAGTCCAGCTCAAGTTTCTATTTTTTTTGTAGAGACAGGGTCTGGCTATGTTGCCCAGGCTGGTCTCAAAGTCCTGGCCTCAAGCAATCCTCTTGCCTGAGCCTCTCAAAGCACTGGGACTACATGGCATGAGCCATCATGATCAGCCTGTAATAAGCCATAAGCCGGAAGTCACAATTTAAAACTTCCAGTTTCTTTAAAGCAAGACAAATTGTGACTCACACTTACAAAGCAATCTAAGAGCAAAAACTCAGCTAGGGCTTTATTTATTTATTTATTTTTCAGTGTTTACCTAATTATATTCCTAACACCTAAGGCTTTTTAAAAAGAAATTATTTTCTCTAACATTTTGTATTTATCTTTTCTACATGTATTATTAAACAAATTCATCTTTATCAAGTCTTTACAAAACAATCAACTTAGTTTCAAAGAAATATTAATAATTGCTACCTGCCTTTTACATATTTCATTGGTTTGACATGATACATATTTCATTGGTTTGACATGGTATTTAATTAATTCATATAATTTCAAAAGTAATATAACTGGCATTGCAACTGACTCTTGGTAAGCATTCAATGTAATCAGCAGTGGCAGAACTGTGCAGAAAAAACAGTGAAGGGCTTATGGGCCACGAACAAGCTGTGGGCCTCAGCTGGTATATTTTACAGAGGAAATGCAGAGCAACAAGTGACTCCATAAATCAGTTTAGTGGAGGTCAGTTAGAACACACCCAAGGCTTTATAATTTGTATAACCAATGTTAGATATGGAGGGGGGGAGGAAGGGAGGGAGGGAGGGAGAGGGAGGGAGAGAGAAAGAGAGACAGACAGACAGACAGACAGACAGACAGACAGAGGAAGCCTCCTGAGTAGCTAAATGCTGTTCATTTTGAGCATCTGGGTGGAGGCAAAAGCCTTGGGTTTTACAGAGGGCTTCTCTGTGGAGAGTGAGTACCTGGGCCACAACAGCCACTGTAACAAAATTTTTTTAAGCAACCAATTTCTGGAACCCCTGGATCATCAGTCTCATCCTGTAAAGATAAGGGAGGGGGTAGCTTTGTCCTTATAAGGAGGGATAGGAATGCACCCGGCAGCTGTCTGGGGACTCTCCAGACTCCTGCGGCTATTGTTTTATAAGCCTAAGTTTTCCATTAACCACATTCAGTCCTACACATACTTTTCAGGTTCCCACCTGGAAATAACCTAACACCTATGACTCACCAATTCTACTTTTACAAATGTATTCTAATTTCCTCTTATCTTTGGGAGCAAAACTTTAGATGCAAGTATATTCAAAAAAATACAAAATAAGGCCAGGCATGGTGGCTCATGCCTGTAATCCTAGCACTCTGGGAGGCTGAGGCCAGCGGTATTGCTCGAGGTCAGGAGTTCGAAACCAGCCTGAGCAAGAGCGAGACCCCGTCTCTACTATAAATAGAAACAAATTAAATGGCCAACTAATATATATAGAAAATATTAGTCGGGCATGGTGGCGCATGCCTGTAGTCCCAGCTACTCAGGAGGCTGAGGAGGAGGATTGCTTGAGCCCAGGAGATTGAGGTTGCTGTGAGCTAGGCTGACGCCACGGCACTCACTCTAGCCTGGGCAACAAAGTGAGACTCTGTCTCTAAAAAAAAAAAAAAAAGAAAAGAAAAAAAAATACAAAATCATGAAACTAGAAACCCCTGAAAGTCCAGCAATGTAAGATAGGAAAAATATTAATATATCATAATAGAGTCATATAATGAAATACTATGCAGCTCTTTAAAGAATACATAGAAAGATAGCAAAGAATAAGGTACATATTATTATGTAATAAAAAGCAAGTTATATAACAGCATGTACTGTAAAAACCTATTTTGGTAAAATATTTAAAGAAAACAGTAAGAGGATTAAGTATCATAATATATAGAGTTACCATGGTGCTTGCTGGTTTATAGGCAATCAATAAACATTAGCTTTACTACTTATGATTATTATTTTAAAAGAGTATACAACAAAAGTTCACAATAATTATCTTTAGGTTACAGAAATAAGAGTGATTTTCACTTTCTTTTATATTTCCTAACTTTTCATCACTAAATATGTATTTGTTTTGAAATAAAGGTAAAAAGTAGCTCTTTTAAAAAATGTACCACACAGTAACGGGTGGATGGCTTTAAAACAGTTTATCCATCAATTTCTCACTTCTGCTTCAAAAAATCCCATGGTAGTATAGGCTTTATTATAAAGATCTTTGGAAATATTCCTCAATATGGTATATTTGGAATTTTGAGAAAATGTCCCTGTCCTGCAGGCAAAGGAATGAAATATGAGCAGTGGCATATTATGTGAGCATCAGCTATTATATCATTATCCAAAAGCTGGTAAGTAGCTCTGCTAATACATATATGAGGAATGTCATATAATCTCTAAGATTACCAGTGACTAGATTTGTACAAATATTCCATGTAGACTCAAGGACTAGTTTCGCCAAATACATCACATTTCATCAGCTGTATCATTTTACAGTACAAAGTAAATGAAAGACATATTAATTATGAATATGTTTATAGCACTAGACAAGCATATAAAATGAAAAATTAAAATGCCATTATATTTTCTCTTCATTTTATCAAAATACTTACACTCTTTGTATGAACTCTGGAAAAAGTAGTGTATGGCGCCAAAAACTTAGAAGATGCATTTTCCTTTGGACATGAAATATGAATGCTTTTCTATACAAAGAGGAAAAGATGAAATTCATCAGTAAAGCTATTCCAATGTAATCAAAGCCTCTTAAAGAAAACATTAGGAGTACAGGAAATTCTCACCTTTTAAGTGTACCCTCTCTCACCCACGTAAAACTGCCCCTCCCCCTACGGCTCAGCAGTCCACGGCTCAGCAGTCCTTTTACTGCAAAGGGCTGCAACATAATTTGGTATCGCTGAGATGCCATTATCTTTTTATGTTGAAATAAATTGTTCCACAGAAGACAGACCACCAATAAGATACAACCGACAAGCCTAAGAAGATTAATATTTAGAAGAAAATCTAATACCAATACTCCCCATTAGCAGTGGGGCAAGGAACAGGATCAGCAGAAGAATATTACATAAAGAGATGTGATGAAACGCAGCACTAGCCCTCAAGCCTAAGACCTTAAAGACAAGTCTAAAGTAAACTTGCTGCCCATGAGAATTTTCAGAAACAATTAGACTACTGACATTTATAGTTACCAGAAAAAACTGGTAAAGTAAATTATGGTACACCCACAAAATGTGTAGGCCCATGTCAGGTTTGCAGTATCTATTCCCACCTAGGACTTAAAACTGACTGTACATATTCATAGATGGGTCATTGTCACATAGCTGTATTTTGATGCCCCATGTGTTTTGCCTAGTCATCATCGCCTGTCTCTCAGCTACTGTAGCAAGAAAACACTGGTGGCATAGTAGGAAAGTATACATAGAACTAGATGTTAGATCGGGAGACATGACTTGCTAAAGGCCATTTGTAACCATTTCAGGTAAACATGTTGGTGTTCCACCATAGTATGTATAGAGGTATAAAAGGCTTGGTAAACACTTCCTCCAGGATTCCTGCAATATGACAGTCTCTTACTCTAACCAGCACAATACCAATACAACCACCTAACTTTATATCTCCTATAAGGAGCTGAGGAGCTGCACCCTAACCTGTTATCTCTTCTGCAGTAGTACTTCAAAGTCTCTGGAAATTCTGCAGGACAATGAAAATGTCTTCGATAATCAGGATTTTCTGAACCTCTTTATATCCAAAAAGCACAGGTCTTCACAGTTCATTAAAAAAAAAACACTTTCAAAGTCATAATATTCTCATCACTGAAAGTCAATATGCTCTTTATTACGGGTCATCTACTCCTTTAAAAAGGCAATTAGGCTATCTATCCAAATAGTACTTTTTCTTAGCCAGCATATCCATGCCTGGCTGCCTGCAGGCCTTTCATTAAATGAGTTTTTGCTTCTGTGTGACAAAGCCTACAGCTACAAGAGAGCTGATCTGGATTTGGAACTGTCTATTGTACCAGAAACTAAAGTGTCAGCTTTAGTCAGTCTCTTGGCTGAATATTCAACCAACAAGGATGCAAGGAGCTCCACAAACTTAGTGTTTGGGCCTCTGTAAGGATTGCATTTGCTCTCAGAAGAATACATTTCTTTGGGGCTACTTATGTAACAGATTTCAAGAATCAGTGCTTTTCTCCTGCTTATTAATCCTGCAAATCAACCTTGAATTCATAAACAGACTACAGAGGAAGATAAATGTTGAACTGCCTTCCAACATCAGCAGGAGATAATCATGACGTTAATGAAAATATTTTAAAGAAAAGCTGCAGAGTAGCACTCTGGGAGGCCAAGGTGAGCGGATCGCTCAAGGTCAGGAGTTAGAAACCAGCCTCAGCAAGAGCAAGACCCCGTCTCTACTAAAAATAGAAAAAAATTAATTGGCCAACTAAAAATATATAGAAAAAATTAGCCGGGCATGGTGGCCCATGCCTGTAGTCCCAGCTATTTGTGAGGCTGACGCAGAAGAATTAATTGAGCCTAGGAGTTTGAGGTTGCTGTGAGCTAGGCACTCTAGCCTGGGCAACAGAGTGAGACTCTGTCTCAAAAAAAGAAAAAGAAAGAAAGAAAAAAAAGAAAAGCTGCAGAAGATATCAAAATTGACAAAATCTAAGGGGAAAGAAGTGTGAATATGCCATGCTAAGATAAAATTCAAAGTCAAACTTTTTTTATTCTCCAGGGTTAGGCATTTAAGCATAATGACAGATTTACTGTTTAATAGAACAATGTAGCAATATGAAATAACAAAGTGACTCATGGCAGTTAGAAACAAATGAAGGATCAACTGTAAGCAACTACTGTCTGAACCCACCCAGCAGGATCACAGCAAAAATTACCAATGATGTTTGAAGAGATAAGGATTATATCCAGGTCTGAATATGAAGGGAAGAGAAGTCAGCCCCCAGGCTGTGGATGGATACTGGCAAAACACCTGGGAAAAATGCAGGCTTGCAAGGTAGTGTTAACTTGGAATCATTAGAACTGGATTTCAATTCCAGCATACAGTCAAATTGACTTTGATTATTAGGGATTAACCTCTCTGAGTCTGTTTGCTTGCCTGCAAAACGGATATTTAAAAAGCCAATCCCACAGGATTGTTATGGTAAACAACCAAAACTAACTTTTGTAATTATTTTGCAGTTTCACCATAGGCAGTCTCACTACCCATTAATCATCTTATGAAGTAGTATATTGTCTCTGTTTTATACATGAGGAAACTGAGGCTCAGAGAACTAAGTTATTTGTCCAAAATCATATAGCTAATAAGTGGCAGTTAACTAAGACTTAGACTCAGATCTTCCAACACTATTATACAATACCCATAGCTACTTATGAAAAACAAATATAAAATATATACTATCCCTTCAGAGTAGACGAGAACAAATGACATGTAGCCTCTTACCTGGCACAAAAAAGGTAATGAATGAACATTTGCTAAACATCCTATGTAAAAGGCAAAGTTTTCTCTATACTTATCAGTATACTAAAAATATGTTACAGCCAAAAAATGTTTAATTACACACAAAAAAAGGCTGGTCCACCCTTTGGGAATCATCTCAACAGAGTACACTGACTACAGTAGTCAGAATGAGTAAGAAAAGGCAAATCATGGGTTCCCCACTTAGCTTAGCCATCTACTCATCTCAAAGATAAATGAGGCCGGCGCGGTGGCTCACGCCTGTAATCCTAGCTCTCTGGGAGGCCGAGGTGGGCGGATTGCTCAAGGTCAGGAGTTCAAAAACCAGCCTGAGCAAGAGCGAGACCCGTCTCTACTATAAATAGAAAGAAATGAATTGGCCAACTGATATATATATAAAAAATTAGCCGGGCATGGTGGCGCATGCCTGTAGTCCCAGCTACTCAGGAGGCTGAGGCAGTAGGATCACTCGAGCCCAGGAGATTGAGGTTGCTGTGAGCTAGGCTGACGCCACGGCACTCACTCTAGCCTGGACAACAAAGCGAGACTCTGTCTCCAAAAAAAAAAAAAAAAAAAAAGATAAATGAGAAAAACTATTAAGCACTACTAATGTAGCCTTTTCACCAGGACCTCACCAGACACAGACTGTAAGGCTATGCAGTCCCATATGGTAGTTACTAGCCACATCAGGTTAGTGAACTACTTGGATATGTAAATCTATGTTTTAACTATAAATTTTATGAAACCTAAATTTTTTACCAGTAAAAAATTAGAGTCTGAATTGAGATATGCTGAAAGTATAACATATACATGGGATTTTGAACACTTAATAAAAATTAAATTCATCTATTTCTTTTTATCTTTTTAATGTGGCTACTAGAAAATTTAAAATTATATACATAGCTCACATTATCAGAGCTGATATAAAGGAAAAAAGAGAGAGGAAGTTTGATTGCACTTAAAAGTATTATGTGGATGGGTGTGATGGCTCACACCTATAATACTAGCATTCTGGGAGGCCAAGGCAGGAGGATTGCTTTAGCTCAGGAGTTCGAGACCATCCTGAACAAGAGTGAGACCCCATCTCTACCAAAAAGAACAAAATCAGGCCGGGCATGGTGGCTCACACCTGTAATCCTAGCACTCTGGGAGGCGGAGGCAGGCAGATTGCTCGAGGTCAGGAGTTCGAAACCAGCCTGAGCAAGAGCCAGACCCCATCTCTACTATAAAAACAAAGAAATTAATTGGCCAACTAATATATATATAGAAAAAATTAGCCGGGCATGGTGGCACATGTCTGTAGTTCCAGCTACTCGGGAGGCTGAGGCAGCAGGATTGCTTGAGCCCAGGAGTTTGAGGTTGCTGTGAGCTAGGCTGATGTCACAGCACTCACTGTAGCCTGGGCAACAAAGTGAGACTCTGTCTCAAAAAACAAACAAACAAAAAACAACAAAATCAGTTGGGCATTGTGGTGCATGCACGCCTATAGTACCAGCTATTCAGGAGGCTGAGGCAGGAGGATTGCTTCAGCCCAGGAGTTTGAGGTTGCTGTGAGCTACAATGATGCCACTGTACTCAGGGTGACAGAGACTCTGTCTCAACAACAACAACAAAAAATATAAGGAAATTGAGCACCCCTCCTCACAAACCCACCCCTTCATATTCTTAAAACAAAAAAATATATGTAAATACAAGAGAAAAAGAAAACTCTTGACACTCAAAGACAGCAAAAACTATAATTATTGCACAAATGAAGTGGCGATGACAGGTCACTGATAATAGTATAAATATCAAAAGTAGCTATATGGGTACAACCATAGTTTTGAATACTGTGACATCTAGAAGACATAAAAACATACCTTGTTTATTTCATTCACAATAAATCCTTCAGAAGCTGTAATCTCTGGGATACCATCTAGGCCAATTCCTTGACAAGTTAGGCTGCCATACAAAGATGGTTTCCCTAAGGCACAAAAGAAGCATGTCTCAAAAAATAAGAAGAATATTTTTCAACTTGAAGATTCAATTCAGGCATCTGTATAGATGGTATGCTTATGAAATTGGCTGGTGAAAGAAAAATAAGTGCCTGTGTTAAAAGACTGCTTAAGTGGAAAGAGCATTAGACTAGCAAACTTAATTTGGGAGGGAATACACTGAAAGACTAAAAGCTAGAAACAAAGATTTAGAAAAATGATATAGCATCGGTAAGGAGGGCTATTAGAGTTATCTGAACCTGTTTTACTGGCTGTGAAACGTAATTCTTGCAGATTGAAAGATGAAGATCAGAATGTATATATGTATTTATCTACAGTATATACACATAATTACACACTAAAGAATTAAGCTTCAATAATATGGAAAATTTACCTAAGTAGAATTCTGCTTTTATAGTGATATTGGCTAAATAAGATATTATCCTGGCTGGGCAAGGTGGCTCACGCCTGTAATCCTAGCACTCTGGGAGGCCAAGGCAAGAGGATCACTTGAGGTCAGGAGTTCAAGACCAGTCTGAGTGAGACAAGACCTCTTCTCTACTACAAATAGAAAAAATTATCTGGCGAGTATATATTATTTAAAAAAAACATATTATCCTATACATAAACATATGCAAATGATAGAATGAAGTTAAAAACTTTTTTCATTCTTCTTCTGTACCTTATATATTCACACGTGTAACAGTCTATATAACACATTGATTACATGTCTGACTTCCCCACTAGAATATGAAGTCCTTGAGTTCAGAAACTAGCAGGGTAGTACGAGTTATTCAGTAAATAAACTAGATAAACCATATTGAAGTTATAGGAGTAAGGAGGAAGTAGAAACCATCATGGATTCACAGAAAAGTGGGAAGGCTTTCTAGAGAGGGTGGGTCTTCAACAATCTTAAAAGAAAGATAGGACCTGGTTAGGAAAAAAATAAGGGAAAGAAAACTCTAATTCAAGGAGGTGCATGTCAAGAACAAAAGTAAGTCAAAAAGAATGGGGAGGAAGGAGGCATCAATTAATATACCAGCTTGGTTACAGCAGTCAAAGAAATGGTAGTTGAAGGATAAATCACACAGAAACAATCTAAGGTAAAAGTTTGGACTAGAGAAGATCTAGTAAAGAAGCTGTTCACAGGAAAGTGGAACAAAGCACTGTTTCAGAAAGATGTCACAAAAACAGGACTGAGGGAACTTACTTTGGGTTTTTTTTCTTTCCTTTTTTTAAAGTAAAAAAAAAATTTTTTTTAATTTTTTTGTAGAGACAGCGTCTTACTACCGTATGTTGCCCAGGCTGGTCTCAAACTCCTGACCTCAAGCAATCCTCTCACCTTGGCCTCCTAAAGTGAAAGGCTTGAGCCATTGCATCCCTCAGAACTTTGCTTTTTATTCTACCCCAAGATTCCCTCCTTTCGTTACCAATCGCCCTAAAAAGTTCCTAGCCCACATGATGCATCATTTCCACCAATCTCTTGACAACACCCTCAATGACTTCTCTACATTTCTGAAATCACTAAAATGATCTCAGTCTTGGTTTTGTCTGTATAATAGAACTGGGATCAATCCAACCACTCATTTTCTACCTTCCTACAGAAAGCTAAGTGCTGCTACAGAAAAGAACACAACTGTGCATATTGGTACCACTCCAATTCATTTTCAATTCATTCATGTTTTCAAACTCAGCAGTTTTAGAGTACTTTTGCCCCTTCCACTGACAGCAGCCAGTTCTCATGCTACTTATCCTGCTATCAAAATCTCCTGCCTTCATAATATCCAAAAAGTGGAACTGACGAGGAGATAAATAAACTTTGGCATATCCATACAACAGGCTATTACCTGGCCACAAAAAGGAATGAAGCACTGATCAAAACTACAAAATGAAAACATGATAAATGACAGAAGTCAGACACAAAAGGCCATATATTTTATGATTCAACTTATATGAAATGTCCAAAGTAGGCAAATCTATATAGACAGAAAGTAAATTAGTAGTTGCTAGGACTGGGGAGTGGGAAATACACTGTTAATGGGTATGGAGTTTTATTGGGTAATGATAAAAATGTTCCAGAATTATTTAATCGGAGAGATGATGCATGACTCTGTGAATATACTAAAATCCACTGAATTATACACTTTAAAAAGGTGAACCTTTAAGAAGAATGTTAACTCTGTAAAAAAATATATTTTTTAAAAGGTGAACCTAGGCTAGGTGCAGTAGCTCACACCTGTAATCTGAACACTTTGGGAGACTGAGGTGGGAGCATCACTCGAGGCCAGGAGTTCAAGACAAGCCTGAGCAACAGAGCAAGACCCTGTCTCCACAAATTTTAAAATTAGTCAGGTATGGTGGCACGTACCTACAGTCCTAGGTACTTGGGAGGCTGAGGCAGGAAAATCGTTTGAACCTAGGAGTTCAATGCTGCAGTGAGTTACGATCTCATCACTATACTCCATTCTAAGTGACAGAGCAAGATCCTGTCTCTAAAAAAAAAAAATTAATAAATAAAAAACAGAAAAAGTAAACTTTATGAAATGTGAATTATATCTCAATAAAGCTGTTTTAGGCCGGGCATGGTGGCTCACACCTGTAATCCTAGCACTCTGGGAGGCTGAGGCGGGAGGATAGCTCAAGGTCAGGAGTTCAAGACCAGCCTGAGCAAGAGTGAGATCCCATCTCTACTAAAAATTAGAAAATTAGCCAGATGACTAAAAATATATAGAAAAACTAGCTGGGCATGGTGGTGCATGCCTGTAGTCCCGGTTACTCGGGAGGTTGAGGCAGGAGGATCACTTGAACCCAGGAGTTTGAGGTTGCTGTGAGCTAGGCTGATGCCACAGCACTCTAACCCAGGCGGAGAGAGTGAGACTCTGTCTCTAAATAAATAAATAAATAAAGCTGTTAAAAAAAAAAATCCTAGAATCCCAATAGTATCTACCTGACAGGATTTTAAGAAACAATGTATGTAAAGTAGCACATAAATAGCACATATTTTATCTCAATAAAGCTGTTATTTAAAAACAAAAACAAAAGGCCCTCCTCTTTAAGAGTTGACACTATCTCCAACTTCATATAGAAAACTAAAGCTGTAAGTTACCCTCAAATTTCCACGTCCAGGCCCACCCATTTATCTGTACTTACACTCACCTTCTTTTATCCTAGTCTGTTATACTTAATTCAATCTCCTCTCTCTCCTCTAAGAATTGGTTCTTCAGTCAGTCCTTCTTTCTTCTACCTTCAACCTATATTTTTCAATTGCTTTCTTCAATTATTCTCATTTTTTAATGCAAAATTAAAAGGCCTTGCCTGTGAGATCTTCTAGCTACTACCCTTTTCACAGGTGCAGTATCCTCAAAAAGGGACCCTAGGCTGGGTGTGGTAGCTCATACCTATAATCCTAGCAATTTGAGAGGCCAAGGTGGGAAGATCGCTTGAGGCCAGGAGTTTGAGACTAGCCTGGACAACACAGTGATACCTCATCTCTATAAAAAATAAATTAAAGAAAAAATTGGCCGGGTGTGGTGGCTCACGCCTGTAATCCCAGCACTCTGGGAGGCCGAGGCAGGTGGATTGCTCGAGGTCAGGAATTCAAAACCAGCCTGAGCAAGAGCGAGACCTTGTCTCTACTATAAATAGAGATAAATTAATTGGCCAACTAATATATATAGAAAAAAGTTAGCCAGGCATTGTGGTGCATGCCTGTAGTCCCAGCTACTTGGGAGGCTGAGGCAGCAGGATTGCTTGAGACTAGGAGTTCGAGGTTGCTGTGAGCTAGGCTGACACCACGGCACCCACTCTAGCCTGGGCAACAAAGCGAGACTCTGTCTCAAAAAAAAAGAAAGAAAGAAAGAAAGAAAAAATTAACTGGACATGTTGGCATGTACCTGTAGTCCTAGCTACTAGGGAGGCAGAGGCAGGAGGATAGCTTGAGGCCATGAGCTTGAGGCTGTGAGCTATGATCGGGCCACTGTATTCCTGCCTGGGCAAGAGATAGAGACTCTGCTCCGCCCACCCCACAAAAAAGAAGACTCTACATTTCAAACTTTATTTCTCATAGAAATAAAATATATCAATGGCATCTGAAGTGAACATAACTTTCTCACAGAATTTAGAAGGAAGGTTGATTTGTTTTTGGAATAGTACCACACTGGTTATAGTGTGCTCCGAATGGTTAGGAATGACAGAGGAGTGTCATTCAAAGAAAAACTTGACAGGACTTGGGAGCTGTCTGGATATGGCAGGGTGAAATAACTAGGTTTTTTCACTTCAATGCCTAGAAGAATGATAGTAACTTAAGAAATAAAAAAAAAATCAACAAAGAGAACCCATTTGACAACCAATGTGCCCAGCTTGGTTTTGTACTTTATTACTAAGTCAAGTAACTTAAGATGACAGCAAGATCTTTAAGCATAAATCTCCAGCAGACAACTGTTCAATCTCTGCTTGAACTTGAAGAGAGGTCAAGGCTAAAGCTATATATCTAGAAATTATCATCAGGAAGGTCCCAGTTGAAGCTGTAAAACTGCTTAAAATACAACAGCATAGGACTAAGGGACTGATTAATATTTATCAGCAATATTTCCATGAATAAGTCTCTGGGTTCCAAATGGAAAACCAATCTGAAGTCCTTTCCTTGGAATGAGATGATGTCCATATAGTCCAGACTGGTCAAGCACATTTGCAGACTGTGAGCACTGTGCAAGGAAGCTAGGCCAAGAGACAGTAGGAAGCTTTAAGGGTAGTAAATCTTTTCTTTTCTTTCTTTTTTTTTTTTTGAGACAGAGTCTCACTCTGTTGCCCAGGCTACAGTGAGTGCCGTGGCATCAGCCTAGCTCACAGCAACCTCAAACTCCTGGACTCAAGCAATCCTCCTGCCTCAGCCTCCCGAGTAGCTGGGACTACAGGCATGTGTCACCATGCCCAGCTAATTTTTCTATATATATATTAGTTGGCCAATTAATTTCTTTGTTTTTATAGTAGAGACGGGGTCTCGCTCTTGCTCAGGCTGGTTTCGAACTCCTGACCTCGAGCAAAACGCCCGCCTCAGTCTCCCAGAGTGCTAGGATTACAGGTGTGAGCCACCGCGCCCGGCCTAAATCTTTTCTCTTTTAAGGGAAGGCATATAGATTCGTGGATATTACCTGGGGGATGACAGCTCAGCCAGGCCTCCCCTTCATCTTTCCTATGAAGAAAGACAACAGCCTAATTAGACACACCCAAAGTTAAATAGGTACAAGAGGAGAAAGAAGGTCATATAATCTCCATTTGGTTCTGGTATTTAGACATGACACAGTCAACTTCCCATCCAGACATAGATTATTCTAAGATAAACTTTATTTGTTGATGAAATATTTGTGGATTAATTATTTAATGAATCTGTTGGTTAAGTTAATGCTCAAATACTTCAATCAATAGGGAGTTCACTTTGAGAAATCAAGGTTATCTATATTTAGATATTCATCAGGATTATTATAAACCAGGCCTTGTGCTAGGCACTTTGCATATAGCATCATTAATCCAACCAAACAAGATACATTTTATTATTCCCATGTTAAAGATAAAAAAAACTGAAGCTCAGAAAGAAGTGACTTGCCCAAAATCATCTAGCTATGAAATTTCTAATTGAAACCTAAGACTGGTACAAAATAAGGTCTGTGTTCTTTCTAATACTTCACACTGACTTTTTATATGCTTTAGAATGCATCTCCCCAATCATCTAAATCCTGATCTCTTCACCCTAACACTTTTAGGGTATGATGGAAAGGGCCTCGGGTTTTAAGACAGAGAAATCAAGGTTGATAGCAACCCTGTAACACATGATCAGCTGCATGATTTGGGGCAAGTTATGTCCTCTGATTCTGATCCTGCATTCTCTCATACACAATTACTGTTCTTCCTTTATTACTTATCATATTCTGTGTTCATTGTTTCAATTTCAAAAACACTTATTAGTAATAACAGTTGCCATCTATGGCACTACTATACTCATTCTGATGCCTAGAGAAATAATTGGCATGATATATGATTAATATATCTTAGGACTGGTGCTGTGGCTCATGTCTGTAATCCTAGCATTTTGGGAGGCCCAGGAGGGACGTCACTTAAGGCCAGGAGTTTGAGACTAGCCTGGGCAACATAGCAAAACCCTATTTCTACAAAAAAAAAAAAAAAAAGTTGGGCATGGGGGCATGTGCCCATGATCCTAGGTGAGGCAGAACAACGCCAGACCCCCGGAGTTCAAGGCTGCAGTGAGCGACGATAATGACACTACCCAGCCTGGGTGACAAAGCAAGACCCTGTCTCAAAAAAAAAAATTAATTAATTTCAAATGAATGAATGGTTCGCTGTGTATTCCCAATTAAGATGTCAGCTTCTTGCAGAGCAGGAACCATCACTTATGTTTAGAGTACACATCTGAGCATCTACTATAGGGCCTGGGCATTATAAGTGTTACATTGTTTCCTGAACAGAATCGTCCAATATGCCTAATACAGCAGTAGGGGTCTAGGAGGACACAAAGATTCCATCACACACAGAAAGTGACGGTGAGTACTGGGACTTGCAAATAACTGATGACCAAGAAATATTTGCTAAATGACTACTTGGCCAAGAGTCTTCCTGCCTCCCAGTTTCCCTGTTTTTCTCCAACTGATTGATCCTAGTTCTGACACGGGAATTACACAGCCCTTGGCTTCCGGAGAGCTGTTCGGAGAAGGAAAAACAATGACCATATGGGTTTGAGGCTTCTTTTTCTAGATGCTGTACCCTCCACCTCCTCAAAAATTGATTAAATAACCCCTGTGGATATGCTGGATCAGGCATGGCTATTCTTAACTCAAAGGCAACATCCGCTACCCGCCTCCTGTGCCCCTGTTCCGGGCCTAGCTTCACCTGAGGGCTTGGGCCCAGTCGCTCTGAATCCTCAAAGGCGCCGCCATCTCCACCCCACCTCCGCCAGCCCGCCTCTTCCGTCCCTTCCCGGAAGTGGGTCTCCCAACAGCGGGCCTCGAGGGCGGAGGGAGGGCTCTACACCCGGAAGCCACCAATGAAAATGTGCGATGGCTTCCCCCGCCCCTTGAGTGCGCGCGCTCCCCACGAGGGGCTGGTTCCTGGAAGGAAGCACGGAAGAGCACCTGCTGCCGTGCCGCCGTGCTGCTCGCGAAGCCGCCGCTGCCGCTCAGGAGAGGGCGTTCGGTTTGTCTTCTCCCACTCTGCCCTGTGAGCACCGCGTTCCGCGACCTTGCGCGGGGAGGCGTTGCAGGCACAACGGGATTGCGTTTGGCAGCTGCGTAGACGCATGCGTCAACTGGCCACCTGCATCTCTCTGCTTTCCCACTCTGTCCTTGCCTTCCTAGTCCGGGCTAGCCTGCGCAGTCCTGCCAACCGTCTAGCCTGCCCTGATTTCTGAGCAGGGGTGGTCCTCGTTTTACTCCAAGGGAGACTGAAGCCAGGAGGTGGTGGGAGAAGAGCACAGTAGCAATTACTGAGTCCTGTTGTAGTCCCAGCAGTTTTCATTTATTATATAAATCCTTATTCTAATTGTGCGAGTTAAATATCGGTGGGGAAGCTAAAATGAAAAAGATTACATGGGGGAAAAAAGCATGAAATATTTAAAAATATGTAAGTATAAGCAAATAAAATTAAGTATTACAATAAAAAAAGATTACATGGTAAGATGTAGGGCTGGGTTTCGAACCCAGATCTCTTGGCTTAGGATCCAAGGCGCTTTTCATTTCACCTGTCTTGCTCTAAAAGATTTGCTCCTGGCCTTTAAAGAGTTCATAGATATTTAGGAAGAGGAAACTATCATTTATTGAACTTTATCATCTCTATTTTTCAAGAGAAGGTTATAAAGTGACTTGCCCAAGGGCACCCAATTAGTATAAAAGTCCTTAATATGTCCTGCAAAGCCTTTCTATGATCAGACACTTATATCGCCAGTTTAATTTGTTGTCTTGTTCTCATATTCTGTTCTCCAGTCACTGAACTTTTTATTCTTTTTGTGTGTCAAATTCTCTCTCAACCCCCTGCTCTTCTGTTGGTCAGAAATATTCTTACAATCTCTGGCTAACTCCTATTTATCCTTCAAGTTTCAGCTTAGAAATCACTTTCTCTAGGAACCCTTCCCTACTTATTCCTGTTCTTGTCTGGATTAGGTATCCCTTCACTGTGTTCCCAGTCTTACCTATCTGTACACACTGTAGTATACTGCCCTGTTTCTCTGTTTTTAAATTTTTTTTCTTTTCTTTTCCTGCACCTCTCCCCCGCCCCCCCTTTCCCTGTTTAGATTGTAAACTCCAAGAAGGCAGGAACTGTGGCTGACTTGGTCTCCCCTGAGTCCTGTACTTGAGCATAGTGCCTGATGCATAATAGGTGCTCAACAATCATTTGTGGGCCAGGCGTGGTGGCTCACGCCTATAATCCTAGCTCTCTGGGAGGCCGAGGCGGGCAGATCGTTTGAGCTCAGGAGTTCGAAACCAAGCTGAGCAAGAGTGAGACTCCGTCTCTACTATAAATAGAAAGAAATTAATTGGCCAACTAATATATATAGAAAAAATTAGCCGGGCATGGTGGCACATGCCTGTAGTCCCAGCTACTTAGGAGGCTGAGGCAGAGGGATCACTTGAGCCCAGGAGTTTGAGGTTGCTGTGAGCCAGGCTGATGCCACGGCACTCACTCTACCCTGGGTAACAAAGTGAGACTCTGTCTCAAAAAAAAACAAAAACAATCATTTGTGGAATGAATGAGAGACAAAGTAAAGGCATTAAGGAGTCCTTTTAGCTTCTTTACAGCCCAGCATGGTGAAATATGTGCAAAGGCTAAAGTCATTTTTCTTTAAACCTTAAGTTCCTTCTGTATGCTACCTTCTACTGGTGCTCTGAAACAGATGATCTTAGGAAGACAGTCTAGGTAAACATACCTTACATTTTTGTATAGTTGTCAAAGTTACCTCATTTCATGAACTCATCTCTTTCCCTGGCCTCTGCATGCCCTACATTACAGACACACTGAACTGTTTCCATTCCTCCCATGTGTCAAAACCTAGCCTTATTTGGATACTTTTTCAAGTTTTAAACTTTGTTCTTCAAGCATAAGTCCAGTAGGAAAAATGAAGAAAGGTTAATTCTTTTGAGATATATCAGAGATGGCTTCTCCAGAAAGGTGACTTTTCACATAATTTATATTCCATTAGCAGAATCCATTCAGCTTATTGAGTGCTGTGTTAAGCATTCTCACATACTTTATCTCATTCAGTTCTGTTCAAACCATTATGCAGGCCCATCCTCTGCCAGGCCTTGCTAGAGGCACCAAGGTAGTAAATCAGGACAAGCATCTGTCCTCAACTTAGAGTCTCTGAGGGAAGACAGACACATAAACAGGCTATAATAGTACAGTTTGGTCAATGCTATTTATAACCCAGAAAACTTCTATATAATATCCCTGTTCTAACCTTGTCTCTGTTCATATTCTATAGATTCCCCAAGATGTCAACCTCAGTTCCTCAAGGCCATAATTGGACCCGACAGGTGAAGAAGGAAGATGAGGAAGAGGACCCACTGGATCAGCTCATCTCCCGCTCTGGCTGCGCTGCCTCCCACTTTGCAGTGCAGGAGTGCATGGCCCAGCACCAGGACTGGCGGCAGTGCCAGCCACAGGTGCAGGCCTTCAGGGATTGCATGAGTGAGCAGCAGGCAAGGCGGCGGGAGGAGCTGCAGAGGAGGAAAGAGCAAGCAAATGCCCACTGCTGAGACCCCAAACCACCTGTCCCCAGGAGATGGCCATGTAGAAACCAGCACCCAAAGACGCCATGGGAAGAAGAAATCCTAAATGATGGACATAATGGGCCAGAAGGACATAATGGGGATGGTCTTTGGAACTGGGGTTGCTGAGACCCAGACACCATGGGTTTGGATGGGACTGCCACAAAGAGCTGTTATATATTCATGATCAAATCCCACACATCCTTACTCATCTTGTTCCACTAATATTTGCCATCTAAAACAAAATGAGGTAAGGGATGTACCCATCTCAGTACTTGGGTGTGCCAAGCACTCAGTGTACTCAATTCAGGGACATTTTAATTTAGGAGTAAATTCACAATATAAAGATATATTGATTAGCAAATTAGATCTTTGTTTCTTCACTCATGGGTAAAACAACAGCAAGTATTTCTGAGCCATTGTGTTGGAAACTGACATGATAAATAATGTGATATGACCTCTGTCTTCATGTTGATTAGAGAAGAGTCTAGTTTGAGAGACAGTAGTAAAACAATACTGAAACAACTAGCTCCTAACAATAGTATGAGTGCTTTTATCTTTTATCATTTGTTCTGGGTGTTTCATTCAGTTTAATGGAAGGAAGCAAGCAAGCAAGAAAACTTTTTATTCAAATATTGAGTACCTTTTATATGCCACATTCTGTTGAATTAACAGATGCAGAGTCTGGCCTCAACCTGCTACAACAAACCATAGTGGCCTATACATTTTAAAGAGTATATTAACAGTTAAAATATGGAGACTGTTTTCAGCTTTTAAAAACCGAGCTGTCAACATAGGATTGCTTGCTTCCACTTGACACACAGAGTTGTGAAGTTGAATAACAGTTCCTACTTTAAGAGGGTGTGTTTTCCCATTCATAATGTTTACCATCACTTCTCATTTTTCTTCACATTCTATTCCTGTGCACCCCTGTAAGGCATTTGGGAGTGGAAGGGGGTTTGGGGAGTGATCACTGTCATAGAAGTTGGAATGAAAAGGGGACATTCTCTCATCATTATCAGTCAGAAACATTTTTTTTTAGACAAGGTCTCACTCTGTTGCTTGGGCTAGGGTGCACTGGCATCATTATAGTTCACTGCAACCTCAAACTCCTAACAAGTGATCCTCCTGCCTCAGCCTCCCAAGTACTGGAACTAAAGGTGCATGCTCATGCCTGGCTGATTTTTTTCTATTTTTTTTTTTATAGTTTAATGTATTTTATTTATATCTTTTTTCTCCCGTTCGTCAACTTCAAGTTTAATGTATTTTAATAGCAAACTTACAGGAACAGCACAGAAGACAGACAACATTAGAAACATGTACTTGCATGTAGGACAACTCAGAAAAGTGTAGTGAATGGATGGAATCTATTGTATGATAAAAATGCTACAAACACCATTTAGTTGCTGTCAATAAGAAATTTACTTATTTTAAAAAAATCCAAATGCTGGCATTGTCCAGAAAAAAAATTTTTTTTTTTTTGAGACAGAGTCTCACTTTGTTGCCAGGCTAGAGTGGTGCCATGGCGTCCAGCCTAGCTCACAGCAACCTCAAACTCCTGGGCCTCAAGCGATCCTCCTGCCTCGCCTCTCAAGTAGCTGGGACACAGGCATGCACCACTCATGCCCGGCTAAGTTTTATATATATATATCAGTTGGCCCATTAATTCTCTTTCCTATTATAGTACAGAGATGGGGTCTCCCGCTCTTGCTCAGGCTGGTTTTGAACTCCTGACCTCAAAGCAATCCGCCCCCTTGGCCTCCTAGAGAGCTAGGATTACAGGCGTGAGCCACCGCGCCCGGCCCAGAAAAATTTAACAGCTTTATTTATAATGGTTATAAAGTTGAACTGCTGAAACTTGTTTACTGAAACATTTGACTTGCATTAATGCTTCAAATCCCGCATTTATATTAAAAGTGCACACACAAATGAAAATGGAAAAACTGCCAATACCTGGTTTCTATCCCCTATTTTTCCACTCGAAATCATATACTTAGGTACTTTTTGATCCCATGGGGGAAAAAAAACTCTAACGTTCAGAACTACCAATAACAGGAAGAAGAGAATCTTTTTTTTTTTTGAGAATGAAATGTTTTCCCATCATAGTGGATTCTTAAGCATGTTCTCCACGTATGTGGTGTGTTAGCTGGATGTCTTTTGGCATAATTGTTAGATGTTTGGTATGGGTGGCACACAGATTGGTGTCTTCAAAAAAGCCAACCAGATAGGCCTCACTTGCCTCCTGCAAAGCACCAATAGCTGCGCTCTGGAAGCGCAGAAGTCCTGAGCAATTTCTCACACCAGACGCTGAAAAGGAAGTTTGTGAATCAGAAGATCAGTGGACTTCTGATAAGTTTAATTTCATGGAGTGCCACTGTACCAGGCCTGTAGTGATGAGGTTTCTTCACCCCTCCAGTAGAAGGCGCGCTCTTGCGTGTGGCTTTTGTAGCCAGTTGCTTTCTAGGTGCTTTACCACCGGTCGATTTGCGGGCAGTTTGCTTTGTACGAGCCATGCGTGGTATAAAGACCTCCTTACTTACCCCTCTTCTCCTTCGTCTGGAGCTTGGCGAGCAGTGGCCCTGGCGCTTGAGAGCCATGGTGGCACCGCGGCAGCTGCGAACACAAAATTTTCTTTCTATTTTTTTGTAGAGACAGGGTCTCACTCTTGTTCAGTTTGGTCTTGAACTCCTGGCCTCAAGCAATCCTCTTGCCTTAGCCTTCCAAAGTACTAGGATTAGAGGAGTAAGTCACTGCGCCAGGCCTAGAAACATTTTTAAATCTTTTTTTGTTGTTGTTGTTATACCTATTATCTTCTTTTATTTATTGAGACGGAGCCATCTTTGGGTGCCCAGTGCTAGGTGTGCTTTCATGCGTCAATGGCCTAAGCTCATCAGGCAATAACCTTTCAAATCCTGGCTTTCAATCGGATCTCCTTGTTCGCTCCCAAGGTATTGTCTGACTTACAGGCATGCGCATTCCTATGCCTCTAATTTTTTCTACATATATATTAATTGGCCAATAATTTCTTTCTATTTATAGTAGAGATGGGGTCTCGCTCTTGCTCAGGCTGGTTTCCAACTCCTGACCTTGAGCGATCTGACCGCCTAGGCCTCCCAGAGTGCTAGGATTACAGGCATGAGCCACCACACCCCTAGCCTTCTTTTTTAAGTTTTTTTTTTTTTTTTTTTGAGACAGTCTCACTTTGTTGCCCAGACTACAGTGAGTGCCATGGCGTCAGCCTTGCTCACAGCAACCTCAAACTCCTGGGCTCAAGCAATCTCCTGCCTCAACCTCCGCGAGTAGCTGGGACTACAGGCATGCGCCACCATGCCTGGCTAATTTTTTGTATATATATAGTTGCAATTAATTTCTTTCTATTTATAGTAGAGACAGGGTCTCACTGTTGCTCAGGCTGGTCTCGAACTCCTGAACTCAAACGATCCGCCCACTTTGGCCTCCCAGAGAGCTAGGATTAAAGGCATGAGCCGCCGCGCCTGGCCCTTTTTTAAGTTTTTATTCACCACAATACTGGGTATTTTTCCCCTATTTTTCCACTAATCCCTGTGTTGGTCAACAAACATTTTTTTGAGCACCTGTCTATTAGGCCCAAATCTGAAGTGTAGTAGGCCCTAAAATCTACTTTGAGCCTTTGTGCTGGTATTTGGGGAAGAGGGAAAGAAAAAAGAGAGAGGATATGAAGAGTTTAACCAACAAAATCCTCTTTCAGCCTTCAGGCTGAAGGAGATGACTAGGTAAGTACAGGAAGATGCATCTCTGTGGGTCCATGTGCTTATTGCTCGTGGGTCATCAGAGGGAGCCAGCAGTGTGCACTGGAGTTGTCGGCAACAGTCTCAAGAGTTGAGCCTTTAAAGATGAACATGACCTATTTGCAGACATGACCTATTTGTAACATATAACAGGATTACCATCCAGAATAAATAAAAAGTACCTAGAAGTCAGTAAAAGCACATAGCTTGATTGAAAAGTGAACAAATATGCCTCAAAATAGGAAAATGTAAATATGTTCTACATCACAGATAAACAGAGAAATGTGGGGTTTAAAAACAAAGTATTATTAGCTGATTCTATTGATAAAAATGAGAAGTATTTATAATGACCAATATTGGTAAGGATGAGGAGAAACAGGCACACTCTAAGGTATGAAAATGAACCAAGTAGTAGGAAAAAAAGAGAAAAAATATTTAAACAAAATTGTTAAAAAATTAATTAAAAAAAAGAAACAGGCACACTCATACTATTAAAGGGATCATAAATTAGTAAAGTTTTTGGAGGGTGGTTTGGTGGGATCTGTTAATATTTTCAGTATTCAAGCAGTAATTCCTCTTTCAGAAATCTTCTCAGAAATATACTTTTATAAGATATATATACTATTATGTTCATCGCAGTATTGTTTCCCTCTTATTAAAATAATTATGCAATTTTTTTCCAGTCACCCTCTCGCTTGTTGACCAGGCTAGAGTGAGTGCAGTGGCGTCAGCCTAGCTCACAGCAACCTCAAACTCCTGGGCTCAAGCAATCCTTCTGCTTCAGCCTCCCGAGTAGCTGGGACTACAGGCATGCGCCACCATGCCCGGTTAATTTTATATATTAGTTGGCCAATTAATTTCTCTTTTTTTTATAGTAGAGATGGGGTCTTGCTCTTGCTCAGGCTGGTTTCGAACTCCTGACCTCGAGCAATCCGCCCGCTTCAGCCTCCCAGAGTGCTAGGATTACAGGCGTGAGCCACCGCGCCCGGCTAGCATTGTTTATAATAATGAATAAAGGGTCATAATATAAATTTCCATCAATAAGGACTATATTTGCTTATATATTCAAATCTTTTATAATAGGAATGTATCTATGTATTAATTTGTATAATTAAAAAGAATACCAGCCTGGGCAACATAGGGAGACCCTGTCTCTACAAAAATAAAATTTTTTTTAAAGTAGCCAGGCATGGTGGGTGGCATGCAACTGCAGTCCCAACTCCTTGGGAAGCTGAGGAAGGAGGATTGCTTAAGCCCAGGAATTCGAGGTTACAGTAAGCAATGATCTTGCCACTGCACTCCAGCCTGGGTGACAAAGCAAGATCGTGTCTCTAATAAAAATAAAAATAATAGGCCATGGGGGAGGATGGGTGATATACTAGCAGAGAGAAGTGTGAAAGGACATCCTTAGCAGGAGGAATGGTTTCCAAACCCAGTAAGTGAAGCAAGCAAGTTTTGCAGGACTCTGGCTCTAACAGGAGCCACCCACTAGGTAGGTCACAGAATGTATCTGATAAGACAAAGAGGGCTTTGTTGCCACCAAAGCCTGTTTCTTCAAATAAATGGGGATAATTCCTATTTATTTATTTATTTTTATTTT